GGAATTAATTTCTAGTTCACTTAGCGATAAATCCAATGGTGCAAAAAAGAAAAAACATGCAAATGCAACAACTTCCGAGTCCTAATTATAATTATAATCTTATTTTTCCGGGTTGAAAACATCACGCGTTCCGCGACTTGTGCGTAAACGATACTAATGCAACACGTATTTGTTTTCATACGCGCAACACTGGAAGAACCTAATAACTCATCGGCAGGTTATGTATTATCATATACGAGTTTATTAAACAACACGCATGTTCGTGACCTTTAAATGGGGTTCACAAGCTATCGGTTTATTAAGGACAAAAACAACCGCACACGGCCGATCTTCGTAGAAACAGACTACAGCGCGTTAGTCCACCATCGTCTAGCAAAATCCCATTTAATTCTACATCGGTCGGAACCTTTTCCGAATCCGAGTGTGTACAAGAAAGAGAGAGAGAGAGAGTGAGAGAGAGAGAGAGAGAGAGAGAGAAAGAGAAAGAGAGATAGGCCATTGAAACGTCGCCACTCCCGTGACTCTGATCTTACCGACTACCGTCGCCACCGCCGCCGGTATAGGGTATACTCGCTGCTGCTCTTTCAGCAAAGGCCGTCTTAGTTTATTTATTTTTACCACCGTCCCAGCAGTGCATACAAATATAATTATATACAGCGGTGTACGTGCATACATGTATATGTATACATACACGTACACACCACACGCTGGCCTTTTCCCTACTCTCTAAAAGGTTTTCACGGAGGCGATTATTACGTATGCAACAGTATTTGTATTGTATAATCTCGTTAGCGGAGGTTCGAGTACAGGCTCCGCGTCCTGGTGAAATCCTTTTACTCGGATCGGCTCTGCTCGGAGTACCTACTACTACTGTACGCGGCGACGAGTGAGCGGATGAAAACGGTGGCGGCGGCAAGTAGACCGGAGACGCGTCGGCAGATAGCGGAGAGTACGAGAGAGAACGCGAACGAGAAACGGCAGTGGGATGGAGCGAGCGAGAGGGTGGGTGACACTGCGTCGTGTCTTTTGGTATATACACGTTTCTACGGTTTTATTCGGTTAATGTTGCTTCTGTGTCTGTTTTTGTTTTCTGGAAATCCGTAATCCTTTGATGACACTCCATTTGCATGCAACCGCAACGAACGGCTGAGCTTTGCCCGCGTCTAAACGGATTTCGGTAATATTTTATTTTGGATTTTTTCTTCTTTTTTTTTTTTTTTTCTTCGATTTGCTTTGCACGACGCGCTCCCGCCTCTACCCTCGCAGTCGCCTCCGTCGTCCTCTTCGATCTCAATCGAAAGCTTTCAACATCCTATAATGTTTTTCCCTCGCGCCATCTACCATGTAAGCATGACCACAAAAAAAAAAAAAAAAGACAAAGGTCTAATAAAGTCCTCGGAATTCGCACATCAAAATACACCGGAGACCGTCAATACTGCAGCTGCACAACAACTAAGAATTACCCACGCTCCATCGGTGGCACAATGGATAGTATACTATCAGTATAGTTTTCTTTAAATGTATAACACGATACGGTTTTACACAATCCAGATTTTCCATCCTTAAACATCACATCAGGCACGCGATGTAGATCGAACGCAGCACGAAATCATTGATTAATATATTGTTATTCCTAATTTAACGTCTATGTCCGTTTATTATTCATCTCTCTCCTTACGCGTTAAGCATTAAATGTGGTGGAGTATTTTTTTAAACGTTTTTATAACACAGTGAAAATAAGTAATTGATTATAGCTAAACCAAATTAAATACTCGTACCTAACGAAAACATAATAATAATACGGTTATAATACGGTCACATTTGGAAACGATTTGCATAGTAATAATTTGAAATATATAGTTAATAATAACATGAAAGAAAAAAAATCGTATAAGAATATCGAAGTAGTGGTCATATGTATTTTCTCCGATTATCGTAATCTGCTTTATATTTTGTTAAGATATCGACGGTCAGATAGAAATCAATTTCATACACCGATTTTGCATATATTTTCTTTTCCTTCTTGCTGCACAAAACAATTTATATATATATATGAGGATAGTGTTTGTCAAACGAGGTCTTATATGGAACAGTGATAGCGAGGGAGAAAATTTCAGGAGTAGGAGGGGGCAAGTCAAAGGGATAATATTCTCTCGTGGGGAAACGTTCGACCATAAGACCTCTCTTCTCGGGGGTAGGATGAGCTTAATCCCTTCGGTCAGCAAGACCACATCTATTTAAGCTACACCGAGGCACGGCTTTCAGGCTTTCCCCAAGCATTTAGCTTTATCCGGCTTTTGGGGCTTTTAATATCGTCCGTCCTTTTGTTTGAGTCGAGTAATACTTTCCCGTGTACACCGGCGATTCTTTAGTTTTTATGACGGTTGGTTAAACATATTATATAAAGTACCGAACGAGAGGTAGGTATGCATGGAAATGCGCGTATACGAATTCGATCTCTTAATGTCATGTGTTTTCGTGCGATTAAGACATTTTACGACATCTACCGCCAGGCTGTGTCCACACAGTCATAATGCATCGTTATTGATTTATAATGTTACCGATTTTCAGTATTAAAACGACGATCGCTGCACTGTATATAGTCTGAATCGGGATAAAAGGATATCCGGATATTTAATTGTTTTTTCGTTACAACAGTATGCCTAATCGGAAGTTTGGCGTCCGGTTTTTGATTATGATGAATACACATGCTATAGATAATTTACTTAATTGCGTTAATATCCGGGGATGTTTGATTATTTAAAAGTTGGAGTCGTCTGCAGGATGTATAATATTATAAGCTATCGTGTTTTTCGTTTTACAGTAGTTTATAGCGCTTTAAATATTATTGCGGTGTGGTTTTAATTCTATAACCATTAAATAACTACGATATCGCATTAAGTAAATACGAAAATCGCCAATGAGTTTTCATTTTTTTTTTTCTACTACAATGATTGACCGACAATGCACGCAGCAATAAATAAATCTAGTTTTGAAAGTATTATTTTTTTTTTTTTAGCTAAAATATATTGTTGTGACCGATCTGATGTTTGTATGAAAATAACTCATGCATATTCATTCGGTGCCAAATCATAAGCCAAAGCGTGCAAGTGTCCCAGAAAGAAATATTGAACGAAGTACGCGATTACAAAAAAAAAATGTTCATAGGATTTGGATAATACCCAATTTATCATCAAAACGATTTATTTTTGAAATCAAGAATAGAATAAAAAAAAACACTTTATGCATGAAATTGCACTCGAAATCACGCGGGGAATAAGTCGTGTGTTCTGTGCGAGTTCACGTCACATAATATATTTACCCAACGGCCATGTAGTTTATTTACTACTCGCTTCAATTAAAAACATAAGACAGAAACAACTTCATGAATATCAACTGAACATTCTAACATCGAGCATCGAGTGTTGCAATACTGGAATAGCGTAAAAACGTTATACTAATTGATTTCGGGGCATTCTGATTGTTATTAATACAGCGCGATCGCTTCGAATATATTTGCGATTAGTCGGCGGTTTGTATGCTGGTGTACTGCAGTGTTAAATCATGATCGTCAACATTGTGTCCGACGTGTGTGCGCTAACTTCAGAAGAGATGGACGATCGACTGTTTTTAATAATCTCACTTAAACAGTAAACGTAGTCGATTGCACGCTAGTCAAACTATTGGACCGCTTCCAAACCGATAGCCCGAAATCGTGTATCGTATTACTGCACAAATTTTCTTTCTGGTGTAACGATCCACGTTAAAATTAGGGATGGGCCGATACCATTTTTTACCAATACCCAATATACCGATATATACAACCGATATAAAACCGATACCCGATATTATAATCACAAGTAAAAACTAAGTTGATTTTTAATATATTACATAAAAAAAATCAAACTTTTTGGCAAAACCATGAACCGATACTAAAATTAATCCGATACCACAAACCGATAAAACCGATACCCGATATTATAATCACAAGTAGTTTCTGCGGTATCGGTTCAAATATCGGTTTTGAAAATAAACCGATATCGATATTTCCGATACTACCAATATCGGCCGATACCAAGTATCGGTTCTAGGATCGGCCCACCCCTAGTTAAAATATCAATGACAATTACTGCGGCTGCGAGGAGTCGTCGCGAAAAACAAATTATGAAAATATCACGCGCGAATGCATCGTAATGCGGTAGAAAACCATTGCGTTTTATGTCCTTAGGTTTTTTTTTTTATATTTTTATGTTTTTTTATGTTTCTTGTGAAAATAAAATAATCGTTTTTGTCGTTCACCGCGTTCGATTAAATATTGTGCGATCGCACAGCGTGCGAGCGCGTGGGTCGTGATTCGGCGGGGTAAAACGTTATCTGAACCTGACCAACAACGGCCCATGCATCGTAACAATATGTATAGCTGCTAATCCCAAGGCGGCGCGTCGAAAAAGCGATAGTGCTATACTTTTATTAATCCGGCCTTAACGAACGGGTAGGAAATGAATATTTTCCCGTAACCGGACGAGTTGCGGAACGGCGCGTGGAAAAGATCGACTAACATTACGAGATGGGTTTGTAAAATATTTATTTTCGGACGAACACCGCGCCGTTTTAGAATAATTCAATTCCACGTGCCACGTGAGAAGAGAAAAAAAAAATTGATGACACATGCGTACGAGTAAAACAACGGCTGGGATCGTATGACCTGAGCGACGCAACGACTGCGACGGCAACACGAGCAGTTAGCACCGATCGGTGAAAACCCGTCACACTTGTTGCGGCGGGAAACACATATAGCGTGTGTGTGTTCTAAGCGCGTGGATTTCTCCGCGAGGACTTGTTCGTGCGATACGACCACGCTTTCGCGCGCAAAACCTCAGTCGTCTCGGACGCGGGTCGTCAAAGAAATAGAGGAAAAGAAACAAAAAAGATAAAAAAAAAAATAGTTCGGAGGAAAAATTAATAACAATAATTTCATCTGCGATCCGCGTTATCCTCACCTTCCACGAGTTCCGGCGGTCCCTGCATGTCCGGCTCACGTACGCAGGCAGGTATCCACGTGCTTGCGTTGAATGCGACGAAACCGCACGACTATTTTATACGACAGTACCGCACGGGTGGTTTGACCGACCGAGACTAACGCGCGCACCACGCACACACGTACACGCACACGCACGCACTCGCACAGAGTCGAAAAACCCGTCCACTTGCGGCGGCGGTGACGGCGGCGGTGAAGGGATATCCGTCTCCCTTCTCTCTTAGCCACGCCGAGCTACGGTCGACGGGACGGAGGAACCGGAGGGATTAACGAAGCGTTCGGGGCAAAACTTTGTGTGCTGCCGCTGTAGAGGGGTAGTGGGACGACGAGCGGCGGCTCGGAGATGGGTGGTGGGGTGAGATTAGCCGCGGGAATACGGCAACGGCCGCCCCCACCCCTTCACTCCTCGAATCCCCGCCGTCGCTGCACCGCGCCCTTAATCCGGATTACGGTAGCCGATTCACCCTCGGCCCCACGTGTCATCCTCCTTATCCCTTCCCTTCTCCCACGCGATCACCCGTCCACCGTCAGTGCTGCCGCCGACGGAACGACTGAAACCGAGTTCTTTTGCCGCCGTCACCGTGTGCGTATGTTGTACACAAAACTATATTATTGTAATTAATAGATTCGTAATATATTTGTACGGAGACAAGAAACTCTCACCGAACATATCGTTTCGGAACAATGCGCATTGGTCGATGGATTCGGGAAAAGGGTGAACCTAACTTCGCTCGACGACAAGTGTCGGAATCAAATGCGCGCGTGTGATCGTGTATCGTCGCATTCAGTTTTCACGCAGTCGCCGAGACGTGTGTACGCACTGATACGAAACTACCCATTCTTTTCTGCGCGCCAAGGTATCGTGCGAATTAAATCACCGACTTAATAATATTACGAATCGCGCGTATGAATAGTTTAAGGTGCGTTCTCAAAACTATGTAAATTTCATTACGTACCCCGATCGCACGCAACACGAGCGTCTAACCCGGACCATGAAATTATTCACGACATGACCATGCAGTATATCTACAAAAGTGTATGTGTGTTTTCAATATTTTTTTTATTTTTCCTCGTTTATGATTTAATATAATATATGTACGCGCGTGGTACATAATACGCGAGCATTGTTCTTCTACCTGCAGCGTAGCCTATCCGTTCTTCACGCTCTTCCATTTAACCTTGTTGACGAGTCATTAACGCGCGTAATGTCAAGCAGACAAGACGCGTTAATAGAACGGTTAGTTTAATAAAAAAAATAATAATAATAATAATAATAATAATAAAAATAATAAGACCGGTTGTTAACGAATATTATTTTTATACCTTTAACTACTTCTTCGTATACGAAACCGCTGCGCAGTGTAACGTTTTATTAGTTGCACGATTAGTTTTCAAACCGAAACGCATAGTAGTACGTACACACGTACTCGTATACACGTGCGCTCTAATATCGATTTTCGTTTGAAAAACAAAATATTTCCGGGGAGCGTTTTTTCCACGACTCGGATAACGACGATAGACCAACGATATGACAAATGCTTGACGCGCAATTAGACTCGTCGTCATCTGCCAGACCAGTGGTTCCCAACCGGTGTGCCGCGATAAATCTACAGATTGTTTTTTCTAAGTACGTATTTACCAGCCGGTCATCGACATTCGACGAAAACTGATCGAACTAATCGTAGATGAATAATAATATTTATTTATTGTAAGTACGCTAGTCGCAGCCGTCTAGATCGATCGATCGAACCGATGTGATTCGCAACAAATAATAACCCTCCAATGGAGTAAGCTGTGTACACACGTGCGAGATACGGTTCACGTGGTGTACGGACTGGCGTGCCGCGAACATTTTGTTGGAGGTGAAGTGCGCCCGCGCACTGTTAAAAAGGAGGTTGAAAACCACTGCGCTAAACGTTTCGGTATGTGTGTTTTCCACACGTATACACGGTTGCGTTCGATCGGGACAAGTTCAAGGACCGCGGTGAACGCGTTTTTTTGTGGGACTCGCATTACGACTCGTCAACAGTCCATCACGTACGTATAACCGACAGAATCGACTGCACCACCCCCGCTGCACCGAGAACGTCCGAATCGGTTCCCGCGGCACTTAAACACGTTCACAACACGGTAACCTAACCCTACGGGCTTGCGCACCGCGTGGTCGTCGCCGCGTCATCGTTTCATACGAAACAGAACACGACGAAAATTTCTTCTTAAGATTTCAAATCCGCCGGAAAATCGAATAACGAAAAATTCGTACACGTGTTCGGCGGACAACGGGCGGAAAACAACGAATACGCGAATAAATAACACACAAGTCCGTAATGACTTTCTATTATTCCCCGCCGTAACAATGGTAATGGTATACGTAACACTGCGATCATATTCGCGGGCGACGGATTCGCCATGGTAGTCGTTAAATCTATACGCGTATCGCAGTGGTTATACGCACTCTCGCACACGTATAAATCGTTTTTTTTTTTCTTCTTTTTTTAACCTTTCTTTTTCGTCGCACCTATTACGCATCTATCTCCTCCCAAACGACAAGATGGAGTAAAAATTGGCGAGCACCATTCGTGTTTTTTTTTTTTCGATTTTCGCCAAGCGAGAGACGCCCCCATACGTGAACGAAAGAATACAAGTGTCAGCGCACGGGAATGACGGACTGCGAGGAAGGAGAGATTCGGACGACCGGATGGAGTAATTCCGGACCGACAACTGCGTGTGTAATACGTGCGGTTTTTGTTCGACCACGACCGTAGCCCTTTGGCACGCCGTGACGAATTCGAAATTTCATATTTTTATCGTAATAATTTAACAGCGGGTCGCGCGAATCGAGAAAAAATTCGTCGTGAAATGAAGACGGACCCGTTAGGAAATATATTCGGTTTTTACCGGTATTTACTCGGTAAAATAACGTAGGTATACCTACGGTTTACGCAGTAGTAACCACTCTGGCGTGGTGATTCGAACAATGAGAACCGATTCAATAACGGGAGGGTTTTTTTTTCCACCGCTTGTCGAATATCATAAAAACTACCAAAGGCAATGTGATTTGGATATTTATAAAATCGAACTCTATTATGCATAGGTAGAAAAAATAACTACAAATATAATCAACGTATTATAACCATATATGTGGTTTCATATATCAACAACAAGCCTTAAAAATACATAAACTATTACTGTACAGGTATACTTTACTAGTTTTTAAAACGATTGA